TGTTTGATGTGCTCTACGGTACCTGTTTCTTCAAAACCGAAGTACAGTCAATAGTGAACCCTACGAGACGGAGCCACATGCCGTACAGCCCATGAAACAATCAATGCATTGGATGGAACTTTTGGTCAGCGCATTTCGAGTCGTGGTAGAAAACTGGGTCCCTCGACTGGACTTTATTCCAGACAGCCGCGGCGGTCATTTGACCGAAATCGTTTTTAAAACATAAGGTTACCCTTATCTTTATAATAAAGCTCAATTTTGGGCCATAACGGTAAATTTTTTATGTCTCTTTGAAAATCACATGCCTAAAAAACATAAACCTATTCATGTTATCTACTACACAATAATGCTGAGTTCAAAAATTTTCTGACGGCAGCAAAGAAGAAGGCAGAAGCCGTGAAGTCAAGCGGCTTATAAGCACACACTTTGGCACAAGTAAAAATACACATGAAGTACACACATTAAATTGACAACTTTTGCTCAAGCAAATAAAATTTCAAGTATAGCAGCTAGAATGCGAACAAACAAAATCACAAAATCGTAAAAGAACGAAACCAAGAATCGAAAGATTTTCCATTTTGCGTACGTGTGTGTAGTTGCTGTTCGCTGTGTTACGGAGCAGCTAGATTTTGCGGCAACTTATGCGACGCAAAGTGAGTTTTTGTGACATCGAGCCGGACTTGCACATATGTATATAAATATGTATGTAGTGCTACGCATATACATACTATACTTATGTGTGTGTGTGTGTGTGTGTAATATATACATGCAGGTTAGTAGTGAGAACTCTAACAGCAACTTTGGTGCAATCTAACACACTCGCAGCGTAAGTAAACTTTAAGCCGATTTTTTTTTTTCTTTTCTTTTTTGCGCGTTCTTATTCTAAGCTGTCATCGTTGGCGTAGCTGTTGTTGGAAATTTTCTTGTTTGTCAATGTAGTTTTTCTGGCATGTCGAGATTTTCTGGAAAGTATGCCATTTCAGTAGCCGCAGAGTGCTGGCGTTAAATTAAAAAAGAAATAAATTAGCCGTCACCAGCATTGAAACTCCATTAGTCATGAGTAAACAACCGAAATGAAAAGAAACTCAAAACTGTTATGCACATATTTGATAAAGATAAAAGATATACACGTATCTTCAAGTTTCTCATCTCATTAACCAGAGTTATGCGGTCAATGCCGCACAGAGATTCGCCGTTGAACCTCTCAGCTATTTCTTATAGTTGACACTCACAAAAACAAAAGAAAAAAATTTACAATTACATAAGGTTTCAAAGTACGATCTTCACCAACACCAACAGTATATATCTTTTCTTTTTTTTTGAGCACAATAACACTTAATTTTCTACAACTCTAAGGTTATGTACACATAGATATATTCTTCATATATTTCTACCAACCACAAAAGCTCTCCTTCGCCGTTTCGTACAAACTCGACAAAGCCGTTCTAAGCTAAGGAAATGGGGAAATTCACCAGCAGCTCCACAAAAAAAAACGTAATAGCGAAAAAATCGACAGATACGTACAAACTCCGAGCAACTGAGCGAGTTAAGCGCGATCGAGCAAGCGTCTATCATACACGTAAGCAAGTTTTCCGCTGACTGAATAGTGAAGTTTTTTCATAATTTCAGAAACGACTCGCTTGTGCCGATTCCAGGTCGGCTTGTTGGCTTAATAAACTCATGCATATGTATATACACACACTTACACGTATGTATGTATGGCGCACATGCATGTATTTTGCCAAGTTACTAGCTGGCGGCGGTAGTATTGTATAAATATTAATGGTAGTCAACAGTGTTGACGTTATAAATAAAGGCAGTTATAATGCAACAACATCAACAACAATAAAGCGGTCATTTTGCCATTGCGACGATAACAATGAATTTAAGATAGCAGGAAATAGCGGCGCTGCTGCCAGAGATACGCGATATCTGAGCATATCAATGGCACAGGCCGCGCGTTTGCGGTGGGTGCACACTATACACATTTGTACATACATACATACGAGTACGTATCAATGTGTACATACATATATAATATAATATGTGTGTCAAAAGCTTCTCACAATAATTAAATTGAGAATGTATTCAAATTGAAAGCGTGAAATATAAAACGCCGCCATATGCATATGTATATACATACATATGTATGAAGGCGAACGCATTAAGAAATTTAACTGAATTTAAAATCGCTCTTGGATACGCGACAAGAGTTTGCAATGGATAAACTGAACTTATGGAACAGGAAACTTGTTCCGAGGACACTGAACTTGTGGAACAGAAAACTTGTACCGATGAAACGGTTATGTATGTATATGTAAGTATTTTCACAATTCAAAAAAATCTTATCAATATGAATATTTAATAATTTTTTGACGCGATTTTCAAATCAAATACACAGGAAGAAAGAAAAGCCGTTTAAAATCGTTGAAAAAATTAATATGAATATTTAATCAAAAATTTTATTTAAAACCGCATATTTATTTAAGGGAAATGGCACATATTTTTTCAAAACCAAATTTGAACAGTATATCCAGATATATTTGTTGTCAAAAGCGATACGCCTTATTTTTAAATACAAAAGCTAAGTACCTAGGATTAATCTTCGAGGAGCTTTTTTATTCCGTGATATTCTGTTTGAGTTCTAACGGCTCCGTACTTTGTTAGAGGCTTAGTTCTTTTTTCTTTTAGATATAACTCCACTTCAGCGTCGCCTTTCAGAATTATTTAGCCCTAGTTTGACAGAAACCATATGAATCATCTCTCGAGCTTAGTCAGCTCACTAATTTTCTAGTCTATGTAGGACTAAACAGGCGCTCTTGCGTTTGCCATATAACAGAGGCGGATTCCAGTCATTTATTTTTACTTTAATAATAAAAATTGTATTCCAGCTAGATGATTTAGTAGGTGTACCAATTACAAATACAATAAATTGCTTCAAAATAAGCAAATTAGAACTAATTAGCATTTTTTTACATTTGAAATGGAAATAATTAATTTTATTATTTACTTTTAGTTTTTAAGGCTTTTGTTTTTCGTTCAAACACAATATACATACATATGTACAGAGGCATGTACGATTTCAAATACGTGACTTCACCGTGGATTGCTGCTTGCGCGCTCAATCAAACATAACTAAGTCATTATCATATCGTAAAGGGAAATTACATATGTACATACATACATACTACATATGCGTGTATGCTCTTACACAAACACAAAGACATGCCGTAATCAACGCATTTTTCGGATAATAAATTAATTTTTTTTTTAGCTTTTAATTAAATGTATACATATGTAATGTATTAAGAAGCTGGTGAGAAAAGAGAAATAATAAAAGATCAGTAAAATAGTGTGACATGCGCTTGTAGCAAAAAAAAAAAAAACATGTTAAACAAAAAGTGGCCGCAAGAACACAAACCGAATTGTAAATAAGTATAGGCAGAAAAGGGCAAGACAAAATTTTGAGCTTCAAAAAACTGGTTCGTAAGAAAACAAAAAACGTAATAATAATTAAAACAGCAGCGCCCAAAAGAACTTGTAGACTAATAATTGAAACTAACAATGTGTCAAGAACTATTTTTCGATTTTTGCGACATCGCCAAGACACTCTCACCACCCTCCGCGAGACAAGCTCTAGGCCACAATACTCGTAAATACCAAAGTAAAGATAAGATATTGGGTGAGATATAACGAATGTACATATGAATATATGTATGTACATATAATATGTTCAGATCTTATACGCTGCGACCGCTGACAACGTCGTAAGTCAACTTCTTGCTCAATATGAAATTGTGGAAGGTTTCGAGAAATTGATAATTGTTTTATATTTTCATTTATATTTAAAGTTTCTATGTATTTAATTTTTTTTATATATTAAATTTTAGTTATATATTTAATTTTAAAAAATTTCTGAATTTTTTTGCTTTCTTGAATGTTTTATTTTATAACTTTTTTTATGATTTATTATATTTATTTGTTTACTATTTTATTATTTTTTTACTGTTTTTATTTTTTAAGTTTTTGATACACATTTTCATTTCTTATACTACTGTTTGTATTTTTTTTTATTTATTTTGTTATAGTATTTTTTATATTTTTGGTTTTTTATTTTTTTGGTTTTTTATTTTTTTGTTCTTTATATTTTAATGATTTTCAATTTTTTTCTTATGTCTATACTTCTTTACTTCTCATTTACTTTTTTATTCTTTTTTTCATTTTTTAATTTAAATTAAAATATTTATTTTATTTTTTCATTTTTTAATATATTTTTTTATTTATTTTTTATATTTTTTTATATATTTTTTATATATTTTTTATATATTTTTTATATATTTTTTATATATTGTTTATATATTTTTTATATATTCTTAAATTTTTTATATTTTCTCATAATTTTCATACTCTTTACTCTTTTTTTAATCTTTTTTTTTATTTTTTTTATTTTTTTTTTATATATTTTTTATTTTTTTTATATATTTTTTTTATATTTTTTTTATATTTTTTTTTATATTTTTTATATTTTTTTTATATTTTTTTTATATTTTTTTTATATTTTTTTTATATTTTTTTTTATATTTTTTTTATATTTTTTTTATATTTTTTTTATATTTTTTTTATATTTTTTTTATATTTTTTTTATATTTTTTTTTANATTTTTTTATATTTTTTTATATTTTTTTATATTTTTTTATATTTTTATATTTTTATATTTTTTTATATTTTTACATTTTTTTATATTTTTTTATATTTTTTTACATTTTTTTACATTTTTTTATATTTTTTTATATTTTTTTATATTTTTTTATATTTTTTTATATTTTTTTATATTCATATATATTTTTATATATTTTTTTCATTTCTAATATAATTTTTTATTTTATTTAGTTTCCTAAGCATTGGATGTCTTTTGTTCAATTTTTGTATTATATTTTCATTTATTTTTTGTACATTTGTTTTGTGTGCCTTACAACTACTTTATTAACGGGACAACTTACACAGTTAAAATGGCAGGAAGGAACGAGTTTTCGCAGCTGTCCTAACGTATATTTTTTGGTTATCACAGAAATTTTCAATGTTTTTTATTTAATTTCTTAATCAGCTTTTAATAGCATACATATTTTAATGGCTATAAACGAAAAAATATATATATTTTTCTTAATATGCTTTCATTCAAATTTTCAAAATATTGGCTGCCATATTTTCTTTCGAAAATTTGGTTTTTCCAGCCTGTCCAGCTCGCCTACTGCCGCCGCGTTTTGCCGAGCTCAAGCGCAACGTGCGGTTACTTTCGTTTCAACACAGTTTTGAGTTTGCAAATTGACACTTTTTGGGCGCATGAAAATGCATATTCGCATTTAATTAGCACATTGAAGCTTCGAATTATCCGCTTTTAACAAAATACGAGTATTAGTGAAAAAGCAAATACGGCCGCACCAGCAGCAGTATTTAGCCGCCCGACGAGTTCCGGTTACGAAAATGAAAATCAGCAATAATTGAATAATAAAAAAAATCCAAATATGGAAAAAGGTGACTCAATAAAATTTACGTTAGTATCATAATCTTAACACGAATACGCGAACGCCCTGAGCACCACTTGCTGGTTCGGCCTCCAAAGCGTTGTGAACACTCTCAGTCGGTCGGCCGGTCGGTGGCAGAAGTCAATGCCACGCTGTGGAGTCAGTCCGTTGCTAACTTTGCCCACTGCACTGCCACACCGTGCGTTTTTAGCAGCCACAACCAGCCAACCAGCCGGGCACTGCACGCTTATTTCGCTATTTTCCGTTGTCTTTCACTTTCTCAACAAGTGATTGCTACAACGCGCCGCGACAACTTTCGACGAACGAATTGCATAAAGGCAAAAAGCGAAATGCAAAATGAAAGAGAAGCAAAATTCAAATTAACGACACAAAAAAATATTCAAATTATCGCCATTTGCCAAGTACTCGCGGCTGGACGCAAGAGGAAGGAGGAAGCTACGAAGTACATACAACACATTCCATGCAAATAACTTGGACCGGGTTTTAGTGTTTCCACACCAACATCAGTTGTCAAAAAGATCTCGAGTTATGAAAACACAAGCCACTCACACACAAAATTACGGCACGAACATATACACACGCGCAATAGAAATTTTTAAGAAAATTATTGCACTTGTGTGAGGAAAAAAAAAAGTCGGCGACAAACGGAAATAACGTGAACGTGAACACAAACTCGATGCACAATAAACTGCTCGATACGAAAGTCAAATGCAAAATGATGATGACGATTCGGAAAATTAATGGAAACACAAACGAGTATTGCCGCAGTGAGAGCACCAAAGCCACAGACAGAGCACTCGTCTGTACACAATAACTTACAAAACAAGAAATTCAAAAATAAATAAAAATAAGTGAGGCAGCGCAAGTTTCGAGCGGAGCTGAAGATCAGATAGTGGACTCGTCAGCGTAGAAAATGGGGGAAAAAATATCCAGTTGCAATCTGCAAATACTCTCCCATTCCAAATTGATGTGGTTATGGATTTTCGAGTGGGATTCTCAACTATCATAGAAAGTCCATCAAATGAAAGTCAGAAGCTTTTGTGCGATACTCACCACTGTGAAATAGAAATAAATCTGCAGAGGTTAGTGGGACCTTATGGATGGGGTGTATTTGTATGCCCAGAGCAGCTGGAAAATAACCGTAACCACGCACATTAAATTATTTTTAAGAACCCATGTCTTTTCAAATTCGTTACCAGTCCATAGTACCACTATTTCTATGAGCACACAGATTAGTTAATTAAAATAAAGAGAGAGCATAATAATCAACGCTTTTTTGCTTCAACGAATTAAATATAACCCAATGCACAACAGAGCCGGGCTAAGAAAAAAGCAATTGCGCTGCCACTGTTAGCAAGTTAATACCGCATAGACGGAGCAGCTGCCGTCGCAGACGTGGGCCCTAGTGAGCGCGGCAGCAACTCGATAAATTGAGCAAACAATAAGCCAACAGCAAGCCAACGATTGGAGCTCCGAAGCCATTTACGCCGCTGGGGAGAGTTCCAGCGACGACTTTTGAGTCGCGCTCAGAGCTTACAAACTCAAATCAACAACGTGCATACTTGTTTTGGTTCATGTGTGCATGCGAGCATGTTGACGACCCAGCCCCAATCGACAAGCTTCAAGCTGTTAAATGAGCTCGTGTGCTGGACTGACTGGCTATTCTCGGTGTGCGCTTGAATGTGTGTGCGTGTGTGTGGTTTTTGTTTTGTACGTTGGTTCTTTCATCTGTCCTTAACCGACATGCTAAAGCAGCGAAAACCAAGCTTCTCACATACATAGTACATATGTATGTAAACACACATGTATCTGCGGATACTGAAGTATAAAAAAAGTCAAACTTATACACTCACACAATTCACGGCAGTGGTTGGAGAGAAGGTGCTCTTATAAATGTTGTATCTGAGAATAACACCGGCCGTACTCAGGTGATCGCGTCAATGTTTATAAAAGTATGTAAATATGCCCATATTTTACTGACAATGCCGCAGACTCGCTGGTACAGTTTTAAGTACATACATAAGTATATATGTATATGTATGTACATATTTAATAAAACATCATAGTTCGTTCTCATTCATCCTAGAGATTTCGGGATTTTTCAGCTCAGTGCATAAATCAGTTTATCAAAAAAAAATTAATTACATCACGAAATATACATATGTACATGTATGGTATGCAAAAAACGTCTCTTTTTCTCAAAACTCAATTTGATTAACATCTGAAATTTTCGTTCCTGATCTCGTCCACAGGGATTGTCTATACTTACTATGCTATTAGCACTTCTTGACAGCTTCTTCTTTGATTTGTAGTGTACGCCTTGATGTTTTTGCTACAAATGAAAGGAGCTGTAGCTCATTCAAAGACTTGGAGGGTCTGTCGCTCCGTGGCGAGGAGCATACACTATTAAAAAATGTAATATTATATTTTACTTTGAATGTTGATCTGAAGCATGTTGTTGTAATAGCTACGTTAACCCTGCTTAGGGACAAGTTAAATCAATCTAAGTCAAGGAGGTCACTTAGCAGGAGGTGCAGGAGACGTGCTGTTTCGACGGGATCGTGCCAGAGTTAGAGGGGGGGGTTAGATGTGTCGGCTTAAGGGTATGGGAAGAGAAACAATAAAAGTTGAAATTCGCAATCTTAAACCCAAATATCATTATTTACTTTCGAGTGTTGCCGGTTCTGAAATTTCAGAGGTAATTAGCTCTGAGCGCAACACCAAGTTGAACTTAACTTTTAAATACGTATGTACTTGTAGGGAAATCAGTGGTAAGCGTATTTTACTATTTTTTCTACATAAATTCTGGAACAAACCCAACTTCCCTCTAAAAATATTTTTTTTTTATTTCTATTATAATTAAATAACAAAATTAACTCAATTCTCGAAACGATTGTAAGTACGAATATTTATGTAGACATGTGTACGTAAGAGAGCAAGAGCAATTGTAATTGAATACAAAGGTAAAACAGGTGGGTCCGAGAACAACGCCGGCTCGTAATGAACTTCGATTACCACTTCAATTATAAATGTATGTATATACATACATATATGTACATACATCAAAATGTACGAATGTTTTTTTTTAGTGAATTTTGTATGTAGTAAATAAATAATCGAAATTGCAATGAGTAATTGAAAAACATTCGAAAACATATTTACATACATATTGTACATCATTCGCCTTAATAAAAACCGCCATGATGTCATCCATTGAAAAATATACATTGGACTAAAAATCATGCGACTTTAGTTTTAAATTGAATTTGCAATGAAATTTGTAAAATTTGGAAACTGTATATGTATTAGTTTGAAATTCTGCGAATATCAATAAGCTCTATTGGTTTCTACCTGCATACCTGCACAATGCGGTTCACGCACGAAAAGATTGAAAACAAAAAATTCAAAGTTGGAAAATATACATACATACAGAAAAGTCATGAGCGGAGGCACCCAAAAAGCTCTAAATGTAAACATACTGACAATACGAGTATTGCTTAGCAGCATCTAAAAAACTAAAATAACATACGTGCATACATATGTATATTCATGCATGTATTTATACGTATGCATATGTATGTATATTTGTACAAAAAGAAGCAAATGATGTATCAACCAAACAAAGATCGGGTAAAACAGGTTTTTTTTTGAGATTTCATTGCGGAGAAAGGGAATGAAAAATGCGCGCATCCCATTAACCAAAGCCGGTCAGAATATATTACTACAACAATTTAGGAATCTACTAATTGACAAAAGAGTTAGAAATAGCAAAACTAGCTACCTAGCTACCCCACTGGGTGTTATTGAATTTGTATGGTGAAAATATTACGAACTGATAAGTTAGTTATCTTGGCCCGAACTGCCTTTGGCAACAGTAGTGACATTTTTCCGTTGCTCTGTTTTGACAAACTTTACAGAAAAACGCCAACAAATTAATGGTTTTTGTTTTTCTTCTCTTGCCACGCCAATAAGAAAAGTAAATAGAAAACACATTTTCGTCTTATATGAATGTCTGCCTGTACATATGTACATATGTAGGCATGTATATTACATCTTGTGGAAGAGATGAAAAAAAGAAATTTGAAATTATGAGTAGGAAATCGGTCGAGTGACTTGTCTGCCACCTACAACCGACGAGACATTTCGGTTCTACAGGTGGCCACGACACTCACATGGCAGCAAACAAAAATAAGATACTTCTGTGGAAAATCGGAAAGGAAAAAAGATAACACAGGATCAAGATTTTAATAAATCATAACTCTGAACAAAACTAAATTTTCTATAGGACACAAACAAACTTACATCAATAAAAACATTATTATGTTTTCTTAAATCGGCGAGTTTGTTGTATCTTGACTTGGCATGCAAGCAACTAAGTAAGTGATGAATGCAACCTGCTGCGTGCGATCGACGCTTAAACAAAATGCTGTTATTATTTACGCTCATGTTCGAATTTCAACATACATACATACATATGTACATTATTTCTTATTTTCTGAAAAACTAAAACAAAATGCAGAAATGTAGAGAAGTCTCCAACTGTCCAAAATATATTCCGATTTTCTTACTTACGCATAGGTAGGTATATATAATTTATTTAAGGGGCAGGATGGTTTCCAGCTTCAAAAAAAAATATTTTCCATTGTATAATTTTTTATATAAAAGACAATTTCAATTGCTTTTAAAACTTTAGACGCGTTCTTCTCAAAACTACTTTTTTCAAGTCGGTGCGTAACGTAACTCAAAAAGAAATGCCAAGCCAAAAATTAAAAATCGCATATTTTTCAATACAATTTCGTTCAGCCGCACAAAAAATTAACATTAAAAAAGTCAATTCAATTTTTTCATCTCAGGCCAGATTTTACGCACCGCAATATGAAACTTTTTTGAAGTGGCTCCAACCGACCGCCGCCACGGGAACCTTCCTGTCCCTTAAGAAGTCATCCGCCTGTAAAGCTTTAACGCCATTAAGTTATAGACACGAAAGAAAAAATCCGAGGTTCATAATTTAAATTTTTCTTACAAAATAGAGAAAAAAAATTATGTGTTTTTGTTTGAAATAAAAAAAAATTCTGTTGTGAAAACTATAATATGTAGTAAGGAACGCAGCGAACAAAAATGAAAGTTGAAGATACCTAAAGGTATGCAACGAATTTTTTCAAAATATTTAAAGGCTTGACCAATCATTTCAGAAGTTATTTCTCAAAGGACAAAGGTAAAAACAGGACCCCAGATTTTGAATTGAGTTTTCAAAAGAAATGATTTTACCGCTGAACCTTCTGAACTCTTCATATTGAGTAGACCAGTGTAATCTAAAATACAAATCAAAGCATCATTAAGCCTCTAAAATGACAGCGTGTATCGGTAGATGTTTTTGCTACCATTGCGAGCTTTTTCATATAATTATGTAATTATAGCTAAACCAAAGCATTTTTTTTCGCACGCAAAGTGCATAAGAATCTTCAAGTTCACTGCAATATTTCATTCGATGAAATTTTCCCACTTCACTATTTGTTTGAGCGAAAAAAGTAGTCGACTGTATATCAGCACAAAACAAAGCAAGCAATAAAAGTAGCTAAAACCAAAATGATAGTAAAAAGCAGTTGGATTTGTCACAGGAAATGAACGGAATATGAAATATATAAAAAAGGAAATTATGTTAATAAATGCAAGTTGTTATCCAGCTTACATGTCTAGTAAGGAAAAGAAGAGCCCTGAAGAGGTTTGAGCAAAACCAAAATACTAATAAGAAAATCTTTCGAAATTATCGTGCAGGTATTTGAAAGAAAAAGCTGCAAATCGAATATCAAAACTGAACGCTTTATTTGCTTTCATACTTTCGTTTCATATAGGTCCATCATCATGACCAATCCGTCTTAAATTTTGACAAGCTCTTTTTTGTCATTTTGGTACTAACAATTATTGCTCCAAAGTTATACCATTCCAATCTTATAAAAGCTATAAAAAGCAAAGTAATGGAATTCGAAAAAGTACAGAGCTAATATATTTAAGAACACCCCTAATAATCTAAGTGAGGTTATGTTGATAGGAATGCTAATAGGTGGGATAAGTTTACTAAGAACACTTTGAACCTTTTCACCATATATATTTTCTTCAGTTTGGATGGTCTGACTGGATAAACGTTTCAACTTTCGCTCTGTATCGAATATTTTGGTAATATTTCAGAGAAGGATCGGCAAAAAGCAAACATAAACTTTTTCTTTTTCCCTGTTTCCGCGTCCAGACCAATGACTCATACATTTTTAAGCTGTTGCAGTAGAAAATGCAGATTCAACAACACAATGACATTTCACTTTGCCGGCAATTCAACGCATTATCGAATCATCAGCTTTGTTTCTTGATGCAAATAGTAGGTGCACATTAACTTTTCCCAACACTCGCGAAATACCAAAAATACAAAACATTTTGAACTTACCAGTTTTAAGTAATCTTCAATTTTGGGAGGAATATAATTTGATATCAAACCAATTTGTCCAGAAATAACACGACAATCTAAAAAAATTCCGATAGTGTCTTTTGCACAAAGTAAATTAACGAGCGGCGAATAAACCTTAAAGAGGAAATGACAAACACGCAAAAAACAATAGCGAGTAGCTCTGCTGCATTAACGAGCGAACGGCGTAGAATAGACAAAGGCGGGTAATTTTTTACTCGTCTTTCCACTCTTGTTGCAAATCGTTTTTCACTCTATTTTTATGTGGCAATAATAAATCTTTTACTATCTTCACTTCTATTTTTCGCTTCAATTCTTGTACGCGGCGTTCAGAGAATGTAAATTTGTTGTAATGTTGTATTTACGTTCTCTGCCCAAATCGTTAAATTAAACTAAAAAAAGTTCCAAAATGAAAGCTCAACAAAAACAGGGGAACGTGTGAGAGTTGTTTCACTCGCGTTAGAGAATGAATTTTTAGCAAAAGGCGAAGCGAAGTTACTGAAATGACGTTGAAAGAAATTTAAAATAGAGCCGGTGAAAATATGACCTTGCCAGATATTAGTAGAAATGTAAATACTCCAGTCGCCAGTCGTCTGGATTTAAAAAAAAATATTCCAATTAAAGGTCTCATCCCTCCCACTTCACCAAGTCGTACGTAATAAAACAAAAAATTAACAGCAGGTTTTTTGCCGAATTTATTTTTATATCTAGTATCTAAGTAATTACTCACAATTAAGAAATGTAGAATGTTTGATGATTACTTTGACGGAAATCGATATAACCGTACTGTTATAAATTTGTTCTGCCGTTTATTCAGCACTCGATTGATCCTTTTTCTCATTTTCTGTTTTGGATACATCCGATGCCATGGTACCACTACCGGTGGTAGCACTGCCGGTACTAGGTAGAGTAGAGGCTAAAGGTGCTGATGCACCAGGTACAGGCTGCTGTTGGGGCAAACCTGGATTGTGTGACGGTGGCTGACCATAAACATCATGTGGCTGTTGTGGCTGTCCGGAAACTGGGGTACCATGTTCCTGATAGTGTACAGGTGAACCGTTATGTTGTGGTGGAGGGCGTGCATTCATGTAATGTGCACCTGGCGGTGGACCATAAGGTTGTTGATAATGGGGGTATGGAGCATACTGACCATAAGGCTGGGCAGGGTGTGCTCCATATTGCGGTTGATAATATGGAGAGCGAGTAGGTCCAGCCGGAGCACCATAACTACCATATCCGCTGTGTGGCGGCATTGCTGAAATGGACTGATGTGGCGGCAGGTGGGGTGGTAAATGCGAGTGTGTCGGTGGAGGTGGATGTTGGGGATGCATTGCCATTGTTGGTGGAACTTGTTGGGGAGCCGACGGAGGTTGTTGAGAAGACTGAGGCGTGGCTGGTACCTGTTGTGGCTGTCCCATAGCTTGTGAAGGAGGTGGTGTTTGAGTTGGGGGGGCGCTGATCTGAGATGTAGCATTTGCAGCAACTACGGATGTTTGCTGTTGGCTTGGGGCATTGCTCTCTACTGAAACTGATGTTGTTGGGGGTGGTGGTGTTGGCGTAGGAGTGGGTACTTTGCCCGGTTGTCCAGCTTTTACATTTGACACCGTTTGCGGCTTATTTGTTTCTTTTGCTATTTCACCGGGTGGTTTGGCAATTGGTTTTTGTGCCTCCGTTCTGAGCGGCATCGTTGCCGTAGGCTTTGGCGAGGATTCTATGTCCATAGGCTCCGGTTCTGTTTTGCTACTAGCCTCGGAAGCCTCTTTTGGTACTGGATTTGAAAGTGTACTTGGTGTTGTTGGTGTTATATCATCCTTTTTGCCTAAAATAGAATTTTTAACATAATTTATGTATGGTTAGTTCTTTCAGAAATAAATATCCTATACATACCTGTAAGTGAGATATCACTTGATACAGAAGATGTGGATTGGCTACCAGAACAAATCGGTTTCTCGTCATGTCTGTTACTCACTGATTGTGCTATAACGGCGTGATTAATAGCTGCGGTACCCCCAACCGCCGGATGCTCATCAGCACGTTGGCGTTCACGTTTCATTTCTTCATACATTTTTACTACCATTTTCTGAAATGTTTCTTCATCTACTGCTGGCTTACAATGACGCTTTAACTCCTCCTGAAATGCTTCACTAGACTCCACCATACGTTGTTTCTTAGCTTCAAACTTTTCTTCCATCTGTTGTAGTTCAGCTTCAAGCTTAGTTTGATGCATAGTAAGAGAGCTAACTTGCCTTTTCAAGACTTGCATTCTTTGTGTGGTCACGACAGATCGTACATCTGGTACTACAGCGTCTGAGAATATCTCATTGATTAGACGATGATTACGCAAATATCTAGCGTATGCTAAATGTTTGAACGAATATCCTTCATCCTGATCATCTTCATCTTCAGCGGGTTGAATATCAATTCGTCTTTCCTGTTGGCTCTTTCCACTGGATCGAGAAGGTGTCTCATGTACGTCGGCATCAGTCTTTGCTTTGCTCTTAGCAGCCAAAAAACTTAAATATGCTGGTGAATTATGGTACGTTTTTAATGCCTTCTCATACTCAGCTTTATCAGCTTCATACTCGTCAATGAATTCTTGTTTATCGCCTTCCGTTAACTGCTTCCACATTGCTCCAATCTTTTTTCCCAATTCCCATAGCTTAAGGTCTGGATACTGAGCTTTTACACTATCCCAAATACGTTTTGAATATCGCATATATGGAAGAACCGGCTTCTCTGGGGGCTTTGGTGGCTTAGGCGTACGCGACTCCGATTGATTTTTGGAACTTGACGATTTTCCTGCCTTCTGTGGTGTGAAGGCTGGATTCCCGTAATTGCTATGAGTAAAAACGGGTGTAGTATCCTTGTTACGATCAGAACCGCCACCAGCACCAGAAGATCGTGAACGGCTGCTGCCTGAACCGCTGCTAGGTGCTGGTGTTGGTGGTCCAGTAGGCGCACCAACAGCAATTTGTTTATAATTACTCGGTAAAGACATTTTGAATATAAAAATTAAAACTATTCGTAGCTAAAACTCAATTTTAAGACTTCCAAAAATTTTCAAAGATGTGTATATTCAGCGTCAAACCCGAAGAAAGTTGCAAACAAATCTACAAAATGGATTGTCAAAAATTCTAGAGCTGCCATCCCTTTCAAAAACTTTGTTGGGGTTCTCAGGGCGAATTTACTAAATTCGCTTTGACGTTTACACACCAGTTCGGTAACAGCTGTTATTCTTAGAGGATGTCGGGATTGTTAATTTTACGTGCACTGAGGTTCCGGGTAATTCAGAGTACCGGACGCGTTTTCATCAATAAAGAATCGTGGAAATCATTGGCTTCGTCCGCAAAAGTGTTTAAGACTATAGCTACAAATCATGAAAACCTGCTAACATCCAGATCATTTACTTCTGCAAGCCAAAAAAGTGATAGCAGAAATGAAAACATTTTGGATACCAATACATATGAGCGCGTATGCAATGAAACATTAGATACGTTATGTGACTACTTTGAAGAACTGATAGAAGATGCCAAGGTTTTATCCTCCAGTGATGTTACTTATGGTGTAAGAATTAACCGCAATCTTGTAATACAAATTTTTAAAATTTCTTTTTGAATAGGATGGAGTACTTACCATCAATTTGGGCAAAGAATATGGCACCTATGTAATAAATCGGCAAACACCCAATAAACAAATTTGGCTAAGCTCACCTACTAGCGGTCCTAAACGTTATGATTTCGTAGCGACAGCTGGGAGGTCGGGCCGGTGGATATATAAACACAACGGCGAATCTTTGCACCAACTTTTACAAAGAGAACTACAAGAAATATTAAGAGGACAGGAATTTGACTTTTCTCAACTAGTTTACGGGGATTAAAAGCCTCTAAATATAAATGAGCACTTTTTATTATTTAAAAAAGCCTACACAATAAATATTCCAGTATAATATGGAGTATATAGAGCTTACTTAACTCGCTTTATTAATTGTTCTAAGAGTTTGCTATGTACATCTAGTGCGCGTTCTTGCAATATTAGTGTTTTTCTCAATAAATTCATTTTTTCGTCGTGACGGCGCTGCTGTGCTTCATTGTATGCCGCAAGCGTCATATCATCTTTGCTTTCATTAAAGAAGACTGTTTGTGGGTTTGTCTCTGGCAGCTCCTTAAACTCTTGTTTTAGACTTCCAGTAGAAAGCATTGGAGCTTTTATGGTATTGACAGTGCTCTTGACACGTTTTGTCGATGGTAAACTAACATCTTCAATTTCTATTAACTCGTTCAGATTGCGCTTACATATATCTTTCGAAAACGACCGTTCCGGTCTTGATTCTACTTGATTGCTATTATCATCCACCGTTTGGTTTTGTTCGAAACTTTCCTTGAACTCATGCTCCTTAATACTAATTTCCTTAGTATCTTCTGACTTATCTACGCTGATATGCTTATCGAGTTTACAAGGAGAAGAGAACAGTTCCTCATCACGATATATAATCCGTTTGCTGGCGGATGTCTTGCGGGTGCTATATACTGTTGAATTATGACCATTTAAAAATGTGGAAATCAATTTATCTTTGTATATTTCATGTAATGGTTGAAAGTAATCAAACGATTCTGCATCTTTTCTGGATGAAACACTAAAATATTGACGTCGAAGTTGTGTGTACTTCTGCTGCACTTGTTGGACATCAAATTCGAAGAAACACTCATGCATATCTTTGGAGATATCCTTCCATATTTTTGTGTTTAAGTTTTGTATTTTGTTTGAATCATTCATTTGTTTTTCGTATTTGTCTCGGTAAAGAGATATAAGACAATGTACAGCATTCGGATAAAATGTATCCACAAATGTAGGATGTGCTTCAGCTAGATGTTGTTGCGGCGCTCCTTCAATTATATTGTCCTCATTGTCTTCTATAACACACTCATCTAAGTACTCTACATTTTCAACTTCTTCTTCTGTGCTTGGTGAAGGAGTATTAGCAATTTTGCGCTTTGGCACAGTCGTTGTACTGCCGCGGTATTGCATTGTCTAATTTTACAAATATTATCAATCAAATAAAAACTCAATGTTTACAGCACATAATTTATTTAAATTTTACGTTGGTTGCTTACACTAGTCAGACCAAATTTTTGTATATATTTGGCCGCATGTAAAAGAATATGTACCCACAAACATATAAACATTGTAATAGAAGGGAACAGGGTTGGCACCGCAGAAAACATCAATAGAATTAAACAGTCAACAATTTCTACTTTGTACTTAAAATAAATATTTTTATTTTACTGTTTTGAATTGTTGAATTTTTTTTTTTTGATTATAATGCAATGAATTGTTAATTTTTTTTTTAAATATTTATTTGTTGTAGGGTAGAATATGTACATATTTCAGTTCCTTTTATATATGACAAAGATGTTCATTTGCGGGTTAGTTCGATAAAAATAAATTATATTTTGAAGTAATGCAATAATTTTTTTAAGCAATATGTTTAAAAAACTCTTATAGTTATGTTAATGTAATGAATACCAACGTATAAAATAGATCTTTTGCCTTTATATCAAAAAATCTTTAGCCATGTATATATTGCCCTTTACGAAAAAAAAATCGCACACGTGCGAGAATTAATCAAAATTATTCCAGCAGCAATATAGTACAATAAATCTTAAATAATTTATGAGGTATTTAAGATGTTTTCGAGAGCACAAACAGTCGACTCAATTTTGTCTCAAACAGCTTCTCTTAATTCAAACCCATCTTTTTTACGAATGAAAACCCATATGATTCGAAACTCAAACTATTCATACATTTGCTTACCTTGCCAATTTTCCAATGAATATAAAAAAACACACGCAATTAAAAGAACGTCGTTAGAATGCCAAAGCCTGATCTAGACTTATTAATAAGAAAAATATTTCCAAACATGTATTCAAATTTAATCGCGAATTGTCGAAAGTAATCTTCACAATAACACCAACAGAAACTAATTAAGTTGATATAATAAATTTGAACCCTTAAAACATTATAATAAAATGCCGCGCACTACTAATGTATATTTCGTAATAAATAATAGCTTTTCTAATAGCACACTCCTTGCGAGCATAAAGATTAAAGATTTGATTTGAAGAAATACATAACCTCTTATTGCAAAAGTAATCTCTATTTTGCAAAATTTTATTTTTATTCAAAATATTTGATGTCAAGTTTTAGACTACTTAAATCCAGCAATGACGAGTATTTATTTTACGCCGCCACAATTATCCTGCAATAACAGACAAATTTTGTATAAATTTTTCAAATTTATGTCCAATAAGAAAGAACCGGATTTACCCATACATACCGAGAGAATATTGAAAGCTAATGCCTCAGTACAGTTATTTTTTCTAGTTATTTAATGTGGACCTTGACCGTACATGTTGTTGTAGCCCATTTGTTGTTGTGGACCTTGTTGCTGTTGTCCCATAAAGCTTTGCATGCCGAACTGCTGGGCATCACCCATTCCCCATTGTTGATAGCCGGTGTACCCAACACTTCCGTTATTATTATAGCCCATTGTATTGTAATACGCTTGATTATTCATGCTGCCCATTTGATTATAACCGCCACTACCAGGATATGCCTGCGTCTGTTGCTGCTGCTGACTCTGTTGCGGATAATAGGGCATAGCAGGTGGTTGTTGTTGCAGTTGAATTTGATTATTTTGATTTTTCGGCGGAATCGTTACATTCGATCTTGTTGGTATCTGCTGATGAGCTTGTCCATCTTTTGATTGTGTGGAGGTTGAACTAGACTTTTTGTTTGAATTGCTTTGTTGCAAAGAACCCATTAAATTTGCAATTAAATTTTGTGTATCGCTAAGCGAAATATTTAGACCGGCACGATTGAATGTCAATGCATTGGGCGATGATGAAACGGGAATTATGGGCGCAGCAACTGGCACTGGCTTCATTTGTGATCGTGATGAGCTCCCACCTTCATGGGTCACCTTTGTTTCCGTCTTCGACTGACGTGAATTATCACTCACCTTACGGAACGCTGCTTTAAAAACATCGTCTACATTATAATCATCGTCTTCATCTTCGTCGTCGAGACTAAATTTATTTGGGTTTGCAACGCTAATGTTACGAAAGCGATCATCTTGATCATTATCATCATCGGAAATGTGTCCACGCAATTTGCTATTACTTGCAATAGGCGAATCATCGAAACGACTATCGCGTGACCTTTCGCGTATATTAGACTTACTGGTACCGGCTACCGGTGAGGATGTAGCAGCTCCGGCTAGGTCTGTTAAGTTAACAAATTTTCTCAGCTTTTCGACACGTACTGGATCAGCCGTTTCCAATTTTTTTAGATGTGCAATCAAATGATGCTGCTCCTCGCTGGACAAGTGTTTAAAGTTTTGCAGCAGTGTTTGTAAATCAGAATCTGTAAGTGATTCCAACATGTTGCCACCACCGTCATTCTTCGAATCCTTATCGACAGTCTCATTTGAAGCATCATCGTCATTGACCTGGCTGTGGTTGTAAGATCTAACGGTATTATTTTCATTTTCCAATAACTCATCCACAAGGGCTGGTAAGGCGCCCAATGCAGCGGCTTGGTTTGAATTTGGTATACTCGTATAAATACCTAATTGCGAGAGTATAAATCCAAGTTGCAAAGCTTTGCCATCCAATTGTTGTTTTTCTTTCGATAATTTCACCAATAAAATAAACAAGAAAATCAATTTATCCATATCTTCAGTGGAGACATCTTCACGACCTTGAAATACTAAAGCAGCAGCCAATTTCGTGGCAATAATTTGACGATCGAATGGCAAGTCCTTAACACTAACACCTTCGGCTTTTCTTACTAATAAGCCTGATTCGCTGTTATCTTTACCTTTTGCTGGTTCTTTGTTAGTGTTATTCGAAGAGTTACCTAAGTGAGCGTATAAAATCGAAAATTCAATCAATTATTGAATGCTAAAAGATATGAAAAATTGGTTATGAAATATTAAGTTTTTACTCTTGTCTGCTGACTTTGTAAAAGTTCCACATACAACTTTTGCCTTGGCTTTTTTTACCACAAATTATATTCACTTACACTTATAACTTTAGTACGAACGCACAAAGCTTGTGCAAGCAATAGTGTCGTAGAGTATTTAAAAAGATGTAATTTTTTTGTAAAGCTCCGATTGCTTAGACAAAAAACTTAACTGTAATAGGTTAAAATACGCACATCACGTCACATAATTCGATTAAAAAGAAATTTAATTTATTAGATATTCAGCAAACTGGAGAAACAAGCGGTCAGTTTTGAGAAGAACCATGCCGAAAAAAGTAATATTTGATAGATTTCTTTTTATCAATCTTCCATTATTCGTCTTTCGATCTTTCGAAGATTCAATAAAATCACATTTGAGACGAAACGATCACTGATTCCGAAAATTTTCTGAATATCCTACATAATAATTATTTTAATTGGCTTAGTATAAACATGTGATACACTTGTTTTTTACTTGAAAAAAATAAAAATAAAATAAACAACAGTGATCTGTCCACACACCAATTTATTTGAACTTAAAAAAATGTTCTATTTCACTCCATTCTTTTTAATTAATGTACGGAATATTTTTAGAACTTCTCAATATCTTAAATTTAGCTAACTGTTAATAAGTATTTATTATATTTTAAAACACAATTTTTATACTTACTGTTTTAGGAGATGTGTACTTACCTTTGCTCGAAACCTGATGTATTACAGCTGCAATGTTTTTTATAGCTTTTTTAACAGCACGAATTTTCTGTTGTTCATCGAGAACGTCAGCAATCAAGATACCTTTCAATTTCTCCTTGATTGTTTCAAAAAATACTACATGATCCTCATTTAATAATAAATCATCGGCCGAATTGGCTTTAACTTTCTCCAATGCCAATGCCTTGCCTAATAAATCAATTACTTTTGGACCAAGACTGCCCAAATGGTCCTCAAGAGCTGTTAGTAGACGTAGCACTGCCACGACAGTCAACGGTCCGTCATCTTCTGGCTGAGGATCCTCCTTTGCTGCTGGTGCTGGTTTAGACGTCGGTGATGGAGAACGCTCATATTTTGGATATTGATGAGGCTCAAGTACGCGATAATGTTTTGCTCCACTATAATGTGCAGAAGATGATGTAAACCTGCCACGTGACGAATATGTTGAAGTGAAATAATCACTCTCAGATGATGGCACGTAACTATGACCATGATGGCGATGACGTAGAACATGTGCTTGAGGAGGAAATGGGTTATAATCATCTGACACTGGGCTTTTTGATAAAGATGTAGAGCGATCGCGTGAACGCTTATATTCACGGCCACGTGAAATACGAGGCGATTTGGAACGAGAACGACGCGAACGCGACCGCGAATGTGGTGAACGGGAACGAGAGCGCGTATGGCGGTTGCGACGCCGAATAGGAGATTCATCGTCACTGATATTAATAACATCACCAATATTTTTGGCACGTTTGTCTATATTTCGATCAGAAATTTTCGGTCCCAAAACATGACCACCAGCTGTTATACCAACTGCATTACGACCAATATTCACTTTGTATTTTTCTTTAAGTTGATCGATAATTTCCTCGGCATTCTCTGGCAAACCAATTTTTTTTTTAATTTCTTTCTTCTTTTTTTCAATCTCCGCTTTAAATAATTCCTTCATGCGTTCAGTCCAAAATGCTATCCATTCTGGTTTGTAATCATATTTATTTGGATCCGTCTTCTTTTCTAATTGTAACTCTTTATAACGACGATTCCAAAACTTCTTCCACTCTTCTGGGTACAAAGGATGTTTTTCCGGGTTCTTGTTATAGTCTTGCTGAATTTTTTCCATTTGCTTAAATTGAATTTCAAGCATGCATCTATATTTCTCCCATTTATATTTTTCTTGTGCAATATGCGATGCTTGCAGAGATAGTTCTCTTGGTGTTGGCAATTTTTTTTCGGCATCCTTTCGCTCTTCGGATCGCTCTTCTTCAAACGGTGGTGAGCGTCGTACTCGTGGCAATACCCGGTAAGCAGGAGATTGCTCCCTTTTCTTTAATTTCTTACCACCAGGGGATTGCCCATCTGAGTCGCTCGATATTTCATCCAAATCATCACGATTTGATTTTGATGGTGTGTTTTCGTTTATCAAACGCTTTGGAGCTTTTATAGTTATTTGCAATGTCTGTTCCATATTTTTGGAGTCAGCATTAGCTGTGGATTCCCAAAGTGAGCGATCGATCATGTCAAGAAAATTTGGACCATTACGTTCATCAAAATGGTATTTATTGTTAATTTCTCCTACAAATTTCGCTTTCATACGACGAAAATCGTCTCCATTCCCAACTGTTAATTGTAAGCGTCCATGATGATCTTCAATTGCTTTTGATAGTTTTTGTACAATGCTCAATAGTATTTGATGTGAATTCGGCTTGTATTTGACCGGATTAAATTCACGCACAGCCGTTGGGAAATGTTTTTCTAAGTACTTTAAACGATGATTATATGACGTCCAATGCTGCATAATTGAGCGTGGATCGCCACGCTTATCACAAAGCACACAAAAATATCCAGGCTCTCGACGGTCATCCTCATGTAACTCTAGTGTGTATTCAAGCCCAACAAGAGCGTTGCCCTTATATAGATCGATTGCTTTTTGGATCTCCGCTTCACGGTTTATTTCATCTTCAAAACCCGGTGGTACGGGTTCGCCAGCAGTGATATTCATATTTTAAAAAATAGAGCACAAAAATTTTCTATCACTTTTTCAACTTCTACACAATCAGCGCTTCGGCAAAATGATGAAAAAAAAACTATAATCGGAAACGTTTAGTTATGAATATAATGTACAAAATCAAGTTATTATTTGTGGGAAATCTTCTCGCACGAAGAAAAGACCAACCTACAATTATGTATGCACTTATTGAACCTTATAAATTATACTTTATTTTGATATATAATATTTGTTTCTAATTGCACCAAAAAGACGCCTGAAAATGAAGAAAATTTTCAGGTTTGTATGCGATATTTGCAAATATCAGGGTTGCTTTTCACTGACATCTATTACAATTCTTCCTTAACGGAGGTGTGGGTGTCTAGCTAACCAGAAATAATTTCATGGACATATTTGTCTTCAAAACTTGACTTACAATTATTTTAGAGCATGATATTTTTTGAAAATAGTAAACATTTTGTTTAATGGTCGAGTTCCAAACTCAATAATGAGTTTTAATTAAGTTTTTGGGAAAACAAGGGTTTTAATGAGTAAATTCAAACAGTTCATATTAACCTAAAGGATTTCCTTGATAGAGTAGGCAGCTATGTCAGATTTGCAGGTTAAAACATCACACAAATATATACAAGTGAATTTAATGCATTTATTTACATTTAGTGAGTGCATAATAATTGATTACCGCCACTGTTAAATACAAGTAAAATGCGGCGGAAATCTCTTTCTTGCCAACTAATTTAAACCTTATTTGAGTAATTAAAAAAAATAGTTACTAATAAATTTAGATAAAATACTTATTTCGCTAAAACTATAGCTTATAAATAAAAAGAATGAAAAAAATTTAATTATAACTGTTTGTATATCTGGTATGTTTTAGTAATGAGTCGGGAAGAATTCTAATTATAATTCAAAATTAAGATTTTGTGTTGAAAACTTTCCACTTCAAATAAATTCAAATGAAATTCGAAAGACAATAATATGCATATGTGCCTACGTAACTATGAGCTAACATTATAAATTCTAGTTGTTACAATGTAATTAGTGTCCATTCCACAATTCAAGGTTTTCTTTATGTGCGTATGTAATAACTTAAATTTTAGTCGGGCATGTCAATACTGATGATAGGCATCACCGGTTTCATACTATCATTTTTTGTACCCTTTTTACTCTTTTTATCGTGTTTCGAAAATCCATCTGTATCGACATTACTAGTTGAAGCATCCAATGGAACAGATTGTGCTGCATTCGATCGGTCTACAGTGTAAGCTATATTACCATATTCTTGGAGAAAAGGCATGGCCGATAGCAGAAACTGATAAAAGGATTTACGCATACCGAACCACCATTTGTTTCCGCCTTTAGCATTAAAACTAAGACCAATCAACCCAGATAATGATATCAATAGGGGACTGACAATTATCATATACGGCGCTGCCAGCTCTCCATCCAACTTATCACAAATCATAACCTAAAAATTAAAACAAAACATATCAAAAATTAAAAAATTGATATTTTTACAATACAATACATACCTGGAAACAAAGTAATGGAAGTACTGTTACTATATTCGCCATAGCGCCATGGAAAGCAGCTCTCTTTTGTTGAATAGGTACCTCTGGTGTACGCATCATAATTCCGCAAAATATGACATTATATAGTACACCTACACGAAAACTCTTAAAGGGTTATGTATTTATTAATTTGCACACACTTACTGACTAAACTCAGGCAAATGACTATCCACATAGGAACAAACACAACTTCCCAGTTCCAATGCACGAATTGGTCTAATTTAAGTGGCAATGAAACAAATTGCAAGGCATTCACGGCCAAAAATAATTCCAATTCGAATGAACGATCATGCTTAACTGCCCATACACAAGCTCCGACGCTGGCTACTGAACCGAAAATCAACGGTATGAATACCAGCACCCATAAATGGCGACCTGAGCTGAGCTTGTCGCAAGCAAGTAGTTCAAACATTAATAGAATGAGATGAAGCGAAAGCGATATCAACATTGCCTTAAATTGAGTATATGAATCGCCTTCAAGTCTGTAATATTGGTAAAATATTCCACCTATTATGTGGTTTATGAAAAATTAGAGCCTTACCGGTAATGTGGATAACGACACCAAACAATAGCTCCCACTGCGGCGCCTAGTATAGCAATTCCTTTCCATATCCAAAGTGGCATAAATATTGCCCAGTAAGGCCAATCTAAAAAAAAAATCATCATAAACAAACAAACAAATAATAATAATAAGAAGAAAAAAAATATATAGATATATATATGTTTATATACATATATGAAATAACAACAAATCTTACCGATTTGACCATCCCACCGAAAGGCAAGCAAACAAGTAAAAATAAACAAGCTGACGTAAACGACGAACTTGCTGTTGAAACAAAAACTTATTATGAATTTCTTGAGCGAATTTTTGTTTAAAAATTATTATTATATTATAAAGAGCCATTACTCTAATTATATTTTTTAAACTATTACTAAACTTATAAGGAACAAATCGAAGTTATGTGATTTCTTATTACCAAAACCAAATATTCACTTAAATTCGCTTTTTCTAATATAATATATGCAAATATGCTTTCAAAGTATTACATTTACCTAGGATTGAAATCCTTGAGATAGGACTGCAAGTTCATTTTACACGCGCTTTTTTCTATTAGCGATCCAAATTAATAATTATAACCAAAGGAATCGGAAGCTTTAACGTCCTACATATAACAAACGATACGCTAATTGCTCATTTTCATTTTAGATCCCAGCTTGTGCCAATGCATTTACGAAAGTATCAGAAATTTATTAATTATTGAATATCCTTTCGCAATACTTATTTTAACACTGTCTAGTAAAAATATTTTACTTTTATATACACCAATAATGAAACAAAATATAGCAGAGAAAACAATTCTGGTATTTGACAACATTCACGTATGTCACATGAAAAGAAATCTCAGAATTTAGAGCTGCCAAGATTTAATCTCACAAGTAAATTTATGAACCAGAATAACAATGTCTAATAGGGTAGAGACCATAAGCACTGAATCACTGAATATGCTTTGCCATCTACCATGAAATATCAACGAGTTAAAGTTCTTGATTCCTTTAATTAAGAATTATAACATTTGCAATTGAGAAATGATTATGGAAAGAGTTGAAATAACGAAAGGAAATAGTTTATTTTCTTCTCCTACACGTTAGTTAGTTTTAGGCCGAGAAGAGACGTTTTCACATATCCAAAACTAAAAAAATTACACAACAACATCATTTCAAAATATTCGTAATTACTTTTTTCATGAAGTTAAAAGGTCTTGGTAACTCTTGGTAATTAGAGATAAGAAATTGCAATAGTGTTATCTGTGAGAATTCACCACGCACGTGGTGGAAATTCACCCAAACGTCAAAACTAGTGTCAATGCGTTTTTTCATTCTTTTCGTCGGAAAATTTATGAACTTTCCCATTTTTGTTTCGAAATTAGGGAAAGATTCAAACTAAACTTGTATAAAAAGAGCGACAAATTGTCACAAAAAGTGTTAAAATTGTACAATTTGTGATTGTAAATAAAAATGGGAAATGTTTTGGCCGCATCGTCTAGCTCTAGCGCAACGCTGGACGCTGCAAAATTGGGATTGCCGGAATTGTCAACTCCCTCACAGAACCAATCAGCTTCCTCAGCGGCTGCTGCGATGCCATCTGCTGCTACGGGTATAGACTCCAAGGAAGGAAAGCTTGATAATCCTGGAACCGTAGAAGAACTACATAAGAAATGTAAAGGTGAGAAGATATGTCGATGTCTATAAACTGCCGGGCACTACAAGTGATGACATAACCCAAACGCATGTGAAAAAGTGGTGTTTCTTGTGGTGTTCTTTGTGGTGGTGAAAGTGATAGGGTAAAATTTGTACAAGATGTTTTACATACAATACGAACACAAGCTTCTGTTTTTTTTATTGTTTTCAATTTTATTTATGAGTATGCTATCTTGTATTGTTGCTTTATAGACGTGCAGGCAATGACTTTTGAAGGTGCAAAAGTTATGCTCAACAAGGGCTTAAGTAATCACTTCCAAGTTTCACATACTTTGAACCTCTGTACTGCGCAGCCTAGTGGTTATCGCTTTGGCGCTACTTATGTAGGTACTAAACAATTTGGACCATCGGAGGCTTTCCCTGTGTTGTTGGGTGATATTGATCCCTCTGGAAATCTAAATGCCAATGTTATTCACCAATTTTCTCCTCGCATACGTTGCAAATTCGCTTCGCAGGTAAGGCATAAAACTGATTTTTATGAAATGACTTGAAGAAAAAACATCCTATTTTTCTTACAGGTACAAGATTCTAAACTCACAGCTGCCCAGTTAACAACAGATTATCGTGGTGAAGATTACACAGCCTCATTAACTGTTGGAAATCCAAATATCTTCAATAATTCTGGTGTTTTTGTTGGTCACTATCTGCAGTCCATAACTGATCGCATCGCACTCGGAGCTGAGCTTGCCTATCAATACGGTCCCAATGTGCCTGGCGGACAAATCGCTGTGGTATCAGCCGTAGGTCGATATTCAGAAGGAAATTCTCTGTGGTCGGGCACTTTGGGACCAGGTGGCATTCACCTCTGCTACTATCAGAAAGCCAGTGATCAATTACAAATGGGTGTCGAAGTGGAAACTAGTCTAAGAATGCAGGAATCGGTTGCAACATTCGCTTATCAGGTTGATTTGCCGAAGGCTGATCTCATTTATAGAGGTATAGTATTTTTCTCACTAAAAAAAGTAATATTCAGTTTACATGACACATTCTGTAATTAAACAGGCTCCCTCGATACCAACTGGAATGTATGCGGAGTCTTGGAAAAACGGTTACAGCCACTGCCGTTCTCCTTTGCTTTGAGTGGACGTATAAATCACACCAAAAATCAGTTTAGACTTGGTTGTGGTTTGATAATCGGATAATAAGCTTTTTGGCTGGTAGGTTTAAAGGAAGCAAAAACTGTAACTGTGGTAATAGTTGCGGAAATAAGTCGGAGGGAATGGAATAACAGCAATTAGCGTAGTATCAAACAACATGAAACGGGGGAAGGACTGGCAGAAGATAATTAACAGCAAAACCAACATATATTAAAGACTATTTTATTTATTTACAAGAACAATGACTATTCAGAGCATTTTAAAACGTATAATTCCTAGTTTGACACGTTCTGTCAACATTTATGAAAATGAAAAAAGGTTGGTGATAACATTTGTCAAGTTTAAACGACTTTTCTGGATTTAACAGCGTAGCTTACATTCATTTAGTCGTTTGATTTGCCAAAAAAAATCACTGTATTACAGCTGGTGTAAGTCATTGAAATCGATTTTCAATATCACCATTGGGAAATGACTAAACAATAAGAAAACAAAAACAAAATCAAAAACAAAAACAAGGAGACGCAAGTACGAAAATTTTGTGCACTGCATTATTACCAAATGTTATTGTCCTTACTGTTAGATCATTTACAGACGCCTTTTTGTAGTTAAACTATTTGTTGTAAAGAAAACAAATTAAAATTTGCCTTTTGCCTTTTTTTGTAAAATATTCACTTTAATCGAAATTTAAATGAAAACAATTTAAAATTTATTGTTAAGAAGAAATAAATGAAATTTAGACATTTAAATTTGAAATGATTTGGCTGCTTCAATGAGTGGATATGAATAGATAAGAACACCATTAACACACTTCAACACGTAACTTAGGCAGTAGATTGTATGTAGTTACATAATTGGGAACGTACACATATTACAATGTAAAAACAAATATATTGCTATTCTTGTCATGTTCTTCGACAATTTAAAAAAAATGTTTTTGTTGTTTGAGAGCATCAAACCAAATATTAGTACAAATGATTTGCATTTGTTTGGTTGCCAAACTCCTCATAAAAAATAGACAAAATAAAATTTCATTTAATAAATACATACATAATGTTGCCATTGTCAAATGTGCAAATTTACAATAAAAATAAAACAAAATTTATTTTAATGCTTTTAATTATTAACTTAATTTACTCAATTGCCTCGATGAGTTTCTTTTATTTGGCTCTGCCTTCTGTTGTTAATGCTGCTGGAAGAGCTGAGTTCTTCTTGCTGGCGATACTAAGAAATGGGAGTTGCAATAAATGAATAAAAATAATAATGAAAACTGAGTAGTTGTAGTTACCGTTGTAAAGAAATTTATATAAAACAAACCAATACAAAGTAAAAACTTATTAAAAACAATAAATAATTAGAGCACTTCCACGGCCTATGCTAGGTAAATTAAGTAAGAGCTCACGTATTTTTCTCGCATTCTTAAATAAAGTTGAAAATGTTAAATTAAAATAAAAAGAAACAAAAGGAGTTTCATATAATGAATATACTTATCATAGGGCGTAAATAAGGGAAAATTTAATTTAAATGATTTGGTCTAAATTTCATCACGGAAAATTAAGTCTTCCGATTGCAGTCGCCCTTCGAGTGTATTTCTGAAATGAAAAAAAAAAAATCCATCCATCCAGCTATTCGGAGGCGGCCTAGAATAAACTGTAGGTCTCACGCACAGCACAATTTGGAAAAGGAGCTCGGCCGAAAACTGCTTCAGATGTTAAAAAGCGCCAATATATATAAATATACAATACGAAACTAACTCCACCACCAGAAGGAGTTTCCCTAACCTTGTATGCCGATGACTGTACGACAATGGCGTCCGGCCAGGATATTGATGACCTCTGCTCGAAAGTAAACGGCTACCTCGCTGATATCTCCCACTTCTTCACTGCAAGACAATTACGAATCCAACCGACAAAATCCTCGGCTACCCTTTTCACCAGCTGGACGAAGGAATACAGGCTTGAACTGGATGTAAAGGTCGATGACGAAAAAATTCCGACGATAAATAACACAAAAATATTGGGAGTAACTCTAGACAGCTTGCACTCCTTTATTCCACATACGACCGCAATTGCCGCAAAACTCCAGAGCCGCAACAAAATACTCAAAGCGCTAGCCGGCAGCACCTGAAGTAAAGATAAAGAAACTTTGCTGGCTACTTACAAAGCAATTGGCCGGCCGGTCGTCGGGGACGAATGGGACGCAGATGAAGAAGCTACAGGCTTGCCAAAACACCGCCCTCAGGACTGCGACAGGAAACCTCCTGATGTCGCCGAAGCATCACTTGCACAGGGAAGCATCTATGCTACGAGTTAAGGAGCATAATGCTTTGCTGTGTGTTTAATAGAGGCTGAACCTCCACCTAGGCACATCAGAAAGGGAGTACTAGACTTTAAGGACACGATCCAGCAACACACACAACAACCGCTGGACAGGACGGCGTATCGACAAGCACTAAACGCCATTCACCAGGAGTCAGTTAACACCTTCATGGAATTCCTTCCAGTGAATGGCGTACTCGGAGAAATACCACCACCCATAGCAGACAACGAGCTGCCTCGAGAGAACCGCGTGACCCTGACACAACTCAGGTCTGGATATTGTAGCAGGTTAAACTCCTACCTATCCAAACTAGACCCCAGCATACCTAACGTTTGCCCGGCATGCGGAGAGTCCCCGCACGACACTAACCACCTCTTCACATGCCCCCTCAAACCTACTCATCTAACCCCCCTCTCCCTTTGGTCCAACCCCGTCGAAACAGCTCGTTTCCTGGACCTCCCCTTAGATGACCTCGGCGACTTAGACTGATTAAACCTGTGCCTAAGCGGGGTTAGCGAACCGCTACAACAACAACAACAACATAAATATACAATATATATATATATATATATATAAATCGGTGTACAACTTTGCTTCTGCCGTTTTTTTTCCAAAATTAAAAGCTTTATTGCGAAAAATTGCTTACAGTTATATTATTCAAAGCATTTTCCTTCGCAAGCGACATCTTTCTCCTATCTTTCCGGCAATTTTCGGATGCCGGCTTCGACATCGAAATCACCATTTTTAAAACGTTGAAACCACTCCCGACACGTTCTTTCACTCAGAGCAGCATTACCGTAAGTTTCTGAGAGCATTCGATGCGCTTCAGCGAATTCAGCTGCATTTTTTTTCGAATTGTAACAGAAAAGTAAAACTTCCTGCAAATGGCGAGAATTAGGCACATAAGCGGACATTTTCGAGCGTGAATAATTCGAAAACAAGAACAACTGTCAGTGAAACGGCGATGACAATTCGTTAGGCACTGTCCACACTCATTTTAAAGGCATTATCATCTATGTATTTCAACCAGCCTCAGCCGGTACAGCCACCTGTCGGAAAACGGCGGAAGCAAAGTCGTACACCTGTATATATGTATATGTATGCTTGTATATATTTAAAAAATTTTAAATACTTCCTTCCCTTTATGAGTTTTCCAATATCATTTTATTTTAACTTATGGCATGTGTGATCACTTGGGTTTTATGTGGGTTGGAGCGAACGTCCAGTTGCTGTTGTTGCAGCGGCTGCTCTACATCGCTTAGGGAGCTAGTTAGTCTCGGTGACGGTCACCTAACGGGTGGTCCAGCACATGAGCTCTTTAGACGGGTTCACACCAGAGGGAGGAGGGCTGAAAGCGTCGGTTTTAAGGGTACGAAAAGAGGTTTTTAGTGTCGCTCATGACTTGCTGGTTATACGTTGGGTGTGCTGGGGTCGAGCCTGGATCGGTAGGAGTTTAACCTGCTGTAATATCCAGACCTAAGTTACGCGAGTATTCTCAAGGGGCTCGACTTATCAACAACCTCGCCTTTTTGTTATTGTTTTAGTGATTCTCCAACCGCTCTTAGGAGCAAGTGGGCTAGTGTAAGTCAACGAGGTTATCTAGCGAGAGGTACATGAACTGGGCTACTTGGGCGGGTTCGCCCTAAGGAAAAGGGAGGGGAAGATGAGTGGCTTTTAGAGGACATGGTTAGTACCATACGGGGTCGCATTATATTCCAAGAAAATTTAGATGTTGAGAGACTCTCGGCGAGTAGTGATTAAGGTCTGTCGGTATGCTGTCCTGTCCAGCGGTTCTTTTACTTGCTGCTGAATAGAGTCTGTGCCGTCAAGTACTCTCTTCCTAATATGCCTAGGTGGAGGGTCAGTCTGCTTGCACAGCATAACATTATGCCTCTTAACTCGTAGTATAGTTACTTCACTGTGAAGTGATGGTCCGGTGACATCAGGAGGTTTCCTATCACGGTCCTGTATTCTGTGAAGAAGTTCAGGTTGTCGAATGTGACTCCAAGTAACTCTGGGCTGTTAGCTGGCGGAATTTTTACATTATCGACATTCACATCGAGCTCGAGTCTATACTCCTTCCTCCAGCTGGTGAAAAGCTTAGCCGTGGATTTCGAAGGTTGTAGGTGTAGATGTGATGTAGTGAAGAAGTGGGGAAGGCTGAAGTGGATGCCGTTTACTTTCGAGCATATGCTTCTATTGTCTGGTGTGGTCACTGTACCAGACGGTTGATCACTTGTCATTTCATATTGTTTATTACCGAATGAAGTTTCCGCGCGGTTGTCGCGCCTCATCGAGTTAGAAAACAATTTGACTGTGGTCCAGAGCTTGGTTGACCCAAAGGAGAGCTTGCATGACCTTAAGTGCCGCTCCCACTTGGTTGGGAGTCATGCTGCGGAGAGTTTCAACGGAAAGGGGCGGGCTGGGGATGGTTACCCGAAAAATTAAGCGGCCGAAAGTGTGCCAGCACTCGACTTAATAAAATTCGTTTTTTTTTAATAAATTGAAAACAAAAATTGTGAATAGCGCCTCATAGTGCGGTCGGTTGCCACTAATCCCAAGAGGAGTCAATGCAAAAGTACATGATTTTTCAATTAAGCCTAATAACGGTGTCAATTTCTTTGGTGAACCCACTGCTGTCAGTTGTGGTTTCTGTAAAGAAACTGCACGCAGCAGTCAATATATATTTACATATGTGTGAGTGTTTGTGTGTATGACAATTGAGTCAGCAAGGAGACAATTTCTTCCAAATGACTTTACAAAGATTTTGTATTTGTGAACTTATTGGGCTCTGAAGTCAAACGGGCAATAGTACACATTTCTTCATGCATATATGCATATATATGTATGTATATATAAATATTTATTTACGAGTGAAACTCTAACTGATGTATTTGCTCTTGACTTCCGTTTCCGGCCGAAAAGCATCAAGCGTTAAAAATGGCTTACATATATTCATACATATATGTACAATATATACACGTATGTATTGTATATACCATATTTAATGGTAGCGTCGACGGCATTGTCTTATTCACAAATAATTTGCAACCGTCTAATTGTGTAGGGCTCAAAAGCTTTTAATAGTTCAAAGCTGCCGGTACTATTGGAATCTTTCCTGCCTTGCTGCATCAGCCTAGTTTCTACACCAAGCAGGCGGCAAGAGACCAAGGAAGTTTTTATCGTGAAAGCTGGTAAGGAGGACACTCTGGGCCGAAGTCTTATACACCGATCAGTCCGTCAGCCTTGGTTCTGAGAAGCAGGGAAAGATTATGTGACGATTGGATCATCTCCTCGACAGCGCGCATATGGCGAAAGTAAATCAGTTGATGCCGCTCTACATCTATGCCTGTATTAACGAGAGTGTACCACAAGTGGCTCTCCACAAGAAGGCATCCTGTCTCCCCTTTTGTCGGTCACCTTAATAGGCCAGTTACTCCAACTGCTCACACCAGAGAGCCTTAAGTTAGTATGTATGCGGGTGGTTTTGTCATCTTATCTTCTGGCCAACATCTCAACCGACTATCTCGGGTAATAGAGCAAATCGCAGTTGATTGGGTTGAGAGATAATGACTCAGTAAGCCAGGAAAAAACTGAAAACTAGAAAGGTGAAAGTTCATCAATTCAACCCACACTCTTTGAGAGGTAAAATTATAACTTCTACGTCGTTCTACGTTAGTGTCGTAAGACCCATACTAAAATATAGAGCACTCGTGCAGTGGGCGGCTGTAAAAAAGAAGTGCCGTAGCAAACTCTTGGAAAAGGGGCAACGCAACGATGAGGATAATCTCAACAGATTCCCTAGTAGTCTTCCTTGACATTAAGACAATTAACATCCAATTTGAAATATAAAGACACACATCACAAATTGGAAGAGGAGCTCGATTCCCAAATTGTAAAGAACAGCAAAAAGGTAATTAACAGTCTAAGGTGGGATGCGGACGAGTTGGTTCGCGCTGCCGCTGCTGGTGCCTGTCACCAGCGACTGCCTCAAACCCTTCTGCAAGGTCGTTTAAAACAGCAAGCCATAGAGAAGCACTTACAAGACCAATTGGTGTGGAGCAAACTGCTACCGGCA